CGCCACCACGCCCGGCTAATTTTTGTATTTTTAGTAGAGACGGGGTTTCACCATGTTGGCCAGACTGGTCTCGAACTCCTGACCTCATGATCCGCCCACCTTGGCCTCCCAAAGTGCTGGGATTACAGGTGAGAGCCACCACGCCCAGTCAAGGGACCACCACCTTCTTACAGGAAAGGTGACCTCCACAACAGACCACCCAATAGCATGGATGCCAGTGATCACATTGAACAGGACAGACTCTAACAAAGTGGCATTCCATTCCTCCCACAGCGATTTAACCAAACCTGGACATTCCCAAAAGGCCAAAGTTCACTCTGACATATTCTTCTCACTGAACTGCCAATATTGTGTGATCCGAGGGTAGGCCTCCTGTGTCAGCAATCCCCAAACTTTTTGGCACAGGGATCGGCTTTGTGGAAGACGATTCTTCCACAAAGAGGGGTGGTTTGGGATGAAACTGCTCCACCTCAGATCGTCAGGCATGAGTTAGATTCCCATAAGGAACATGCAACCTAGATCCCTTGCATGTGCAGTTCACAATGGGTTTGCACTCCTATGAGAATCTAATGCCGCCGCTGATCTGACAGGAGGTGGAACTCGGGCGGTCATTCTCACTCACCCGTGGCTCACCCCCTGCTGTGCGGCCCAGTTCCTAACAGGCCATGGACCTGTACTGGTCCACAGCCCACGGGTTGGGCACCTCTGTCCTAAGTGACTTACATTAATTGCGGCATCAATCTGGACGTAGTCTATATCTGAATCCTTCATCCCCAGTTCTTTGCCCTTTCGCTGTTTGGTGCTGACAATTCCTGCAGTAGCTGTGTTCTGCAGAGAAACTGGGCTGCCCAAAGCCACCACAAACTCTCCGGCCCGAAGGTCAGATGATCTTCCCAGCATCAGTACAGGAAGGTCAGCCTGCACGTGCCCAGAGAGGCATGAGGAGGACAGAAAGGGTAAAGAACAAATCAAGATCAGAAGTGACCAATGTGTGTGTCTAACACATATATGATGCTGTCTCCATCACCTTGGCCCTTACCACCTGAGAAGCACCCACTCACACAGCTTCTATGACTGCCTTCTACTTCTTCCTCAAAGTCCAACTACCGTGAAGCTCTCAATTGTTAAGATGACTAGGACCATTTCTAAGATCTAAAACAATTACTTTATAGAAATTACTATTAGTAAACAGCCAGTGAAGTCACTGATGAACATAAACTGACATTAGCAATTTACACAGCACCATTCCAGCTCGAAGCTTAACAGTCAAAGTGAATAAGCCACAAACAGAAAGAAGATCACCCAGGGTGACACTTCTCACACTGTAATGTGCGTGCAAATCACCTCGGGATGTTATGTTAATGCAGATTCTGAGTCAGCACATCTGTCTGGGTAAAGGCTGAGACTGAATTTCTAAAAAGCTCTCAAACACCATGTCAATATATCTGATGTGCACACCACGAGTACTATGTGTAGTAAGGACTTCAAAGTATTCCTTAGCAGTCCATTGCAGTAATTTCTGATATCCTAAGACAAATAGAGGAATAATTTTCCCTGAAGCAGCGTTTGTTGAAGAAGGAGTTGAAGGAGGGGAAAAAAAAAAAAGACTGCTTGATAGTTAATAGAAACAGTTAGAGGCCAAGCGCAGTGGCTCACACCTGTAATCCTAGCACTTTGAGAGGCCGAGGCAGGCGGATCACTTGAAGTCAGGAGTTTGAGACCAGCCTGACCAACATGGTAAAACCCAGTCTCTACTAAAAGTACAAAAATTAGCCGGGCATGGTGGCAGGCGCCTGTAATCCCAGCTATTCAGGAGACTGAGGCAGGAGAATCGCTTGAACCCAGGAGGCAGAGGTTGCAGTGAGCTGAGACTGAGCCACTGCACTCCAGCATGGGCGACAGAGGGAAACTGTTTCAAAAAGAAAGAAGAAAGAAAAGAGAAGAAAAGAAAAGAGAAAAGAAAAGGTAAGGGATATATAGAAAGGCACTGAAGCAAATAAGAAGGAGTAAAGAACAGAAAGAAACCAGAGAAAAGCATATATTTGACAGAAAAGATGTGGTGTGAGAGTGTAGTGGGGCAGAAAATACCAGCAAATAGATAAAAATCTCCAAATATGCAGACTCTGACTCAGCCCTGAAATACTCACATTCGGTTCAATCTTAATCACCGCAAGATCCAATTTAAGGTCAATATCCTTGACAACGGCTTCATAACGGGCCCCATTCTGGAGCACCACCTCAATCCACTGCTGGTTCCTGACAACGTGGGCATTGGTAATAATGAGCCCATCCTCAGACACTATGAACCCAGAGCCACTGTACACAGGAACAGGCATCCTGTCGTGAAGTAACCTGTCTCCACAAGACAATAGTATAGACAGAGGGCAAGAAAGTTAGGGGATACAGCCATATCATCTGAGAGTCACGGGAACCTCACTCTTATTAAACATACCTCCATCACAGTTTTCTTTTCTTTATTTCTTTTTTCTTTTTTTCTTTTTTCTTTTTTTGAGACAGAATCTCACTCTGTTGCCCAGGCTGGAGTGCAGTGGCACAGTCTCGGCTCACTGCGACCACCTCCCGGGTTCAAGCAATTTTCCTGCCTCAGCCTCCCGAGTAGCTGAGACTACAGGCATGCACCACCATGCCTGACTAATTTTTGTATTTTTCGTAGAGACAGGGTTTCACCATGTTGGCCAGGCTGGTCTCGAACGCCTGACCTCAGGTGATACACACGCCTCGGCCTTCCAAAGTGCCGGGATTACAGGCGTGAGCCACCATGCTCAGACTTCCATCACAGTTTTCTCAGACATTTCACTTTTCCCTGACTATGCGTAAATTTTCTCCACGTATCAATGGACTTGGCACGCACAGGGCCCCAGCCATCTCTTGTGAGCATGGTTGAGAGCTGGCTCCAGCTCTCCTTTTCCAGGGACACTGCCTCTTCAGAGTTGGTTAGTGTAGCAGCCCATGGGTTCTCTGCTGCGAAAAGGCTGAACCCAATCCTAATACTAGAGGCAAAAGTAAGAGCCTCGTACCACAGTGTCAAGGACCCAGGCAGGAGAGAATCAAAGGGCTCCGATTCTGGCTTAGTTTCCACCACCAACTGGCCTCGTAACATAGGACAAATTAACCCTGCTCTCTGGGTCTGGATTTCCTTGCATCCAAAGTGGGGGCTGAGCAAGATCACAACCAAAATGCCTACTAAGCTGGATGTGGTGGCTCACACCCGTAATCCCAGCACCTTGGGAGGCTAAGGTGGCAGATCGTTTGGGTCCAAGAGTTTGAGACCAGCCTGGGCAATATAAAAATACCTTGTCTCTCCAAAAAATACAAATATTAGCTGAGTGTGGTGGCACCTGCCTATAGTCCCAGTTACTCCAGAGGCTGAGGTGGGAGGATTACTTGAGCCTGGTAGATGGAGCTGCAGTGAGCCATGATCTGTCATTGCATTTCAGCCTTGGCGACAGAGCAAGACCTTGTCTCAAAAAAAGAAAAGAAAATGCCTACTAGCTCTTACATCTGACCTTAAATTTTGTCTGTGGCAGGACGGGGAAAAAGCACCAGCCACCTAAGTGGGCAGGGGGAGCTCGGATTTGGAAGTTATCCTTGTGCCTCTGCTCTTTGGTTAAATGACCTTGAACAGGTTATTCAACCTCTTTACGTCTCAGTTTCCTCACTGGTGTTTTAGGATTAAATGACGCTTGCGAAGGGTCTGGAGTAGGTAGGCACGCAGAAACCATTAGCTGGGACAGTGGAGGTCTTCCTCCTCCTCCTTTACCTGCCCCACAGCTGCATGTGAACCACCGATGGCGCCACCTTCTCCACCACCGCGGCGATGAAGTTGTAATTCCTCCTGAGCGGGCCTGCCCTTCTGCTCCCTATGAAGAAATACTGGGTCAAGAGTACGCCTCGAGCGAACCAGACCTGCTATCCTAGTTGGGAAAATGTTAAAGGCAAGTCAGTGTTCAAAAGGTGCATGGTGAGGGAGAATCCACGTAGCAGAAGGTAAAGAGCCCCTGTTATGGAGGAAAGGAAATCAGGAACAGAGAGGGGTCGAATCCAGGAGGCAAATGACGCAGGAGGACCCCGCGCGAACTATGCTATCTCAGTGAGGTCTTGTTCCTTTACGCTCCTCCAGAGTTAGAAAGTGTCCCCAGGGTGCGCGCCCCCCGCGGCTCACCTGTATCCTCGCAGTCCCCCCACTGCACAGGCACGGCCGAGATATTGCCCAGGCGGCGCGCGGCGCGGTTTTCGGTCCGGAGCGCACACAGGCTGGGGTAGGTGCGCCTGTCGCTGCCGCACACGGCCCCTCCCTTCGTCGGGCAACCGCAGGTGCTGGGGAGCCCGGGGCGCAGCGGCTTGAGGCACTGCAGCCCCGGGGCGCACGGCTGTCCCTGCGCCCCGCCGCAGACTTGACCCTCGGCCGCGGGGCAGACGCGGCAACAGCGGCACAGGTCGAGCACCGGCGTGGTCCCCAGCGAGCAGGTGGGCAGCGCGGGGCAGCGCGTGGGCTGGCAGACCGCGGGGCAGGCCAGCTGGGTATGTAGTCTCGCAGCCCCGGCCCAGAGGACCCGCACCAGGAGCAACAGCAGCCCCGGCAGGAGGCATCGTCCCAGCCCCGCGGGCCGCAGCTGAGGTCTAATCATCCTGCTCCTTCCTTCCTCGCTTCCACTCTTCAGTGACTTCACTCTGGACCTGCAAACGCTCCTAAATGAGAGACACTTTCTCCCGGCCATGGTGCCGCCTCCGCCGGCCCCCAAACTTTAAGGGACAGAGCCTGGCATACCTCTCCACATACACACCCGTACATCCCCTACCACCCGCCCCTGTCCGCGCCCCGGAGCCAGGTTCTCCCCTAGGCAATGAGGGGAAGGTCTCTAGCCCTACCCGGAGGAGGAACCTACCTCCTGAAATCCCTAAAACCGACAATGGGGGCAGACTGATAAGAAAGCTCACCCACTCGTGGTCAGAAGGTATTAGAAAAACACATGGCCATATTTCAGTATTTCACATGGTTTTATTACAAAACAAGCCACAAAACAGTTTTAGAAAAGTTTTGCTACATACCAATTAGGAGATCACATAAAATGAGAAGCGTAACAGTTTCCATGCACTCAGCCTAGTGCTTACTGCCAATGCATTTCACAGCTGAAACATCACTGCTTTAAAACACAGAATCATGCTACCCCTTCATAAGCAGAGGGGGAGGAGGTCAAACAGTATGTTTTTGCCAAACATTGCTTTATCTGAACTCTATCTAGTATGAAGGACTGGCTGCCGCAGGCAATAACACAGAGAGGGAAAAGGAACAAAGGAAGAAAACGATGCCGGCAGACAAGATTTAACAAACCTGTCCACTTCCAACATGTCTAAAGTTTATAAACAAAGCTCACTTGGGGACACTCAATTTCCAAAATGCTGTGACCTCCACATATGTTATCTGATTTACGCTGAAAACAAACCAACTAAATTCTACCCCTCAACTACTGAACCTGCTATTTATTCATGGGGTCCTTTTAGCCCATATAAGAGTATATTTATACTCAGAAATAGAAAAGAAAAAAACTTTTGCTTCAAGTAGACTAAGAAGCTGGACCTTAAAACTACTTTCTTTCTCGTGGGAGCTGAGTATTCAACTCAGAAATAGATGTATAACTCCAATATTCTGAGCTGACACCAATCTCCATAATGCATGGCTCAATACCTTTATGATGTCTCACTTAACACTAAAGGCCAAATTATTTTTATCAACCATCAGCTGACATTGAGTAAGCAAGTCTTTTGAAGCTTTCAAAAGTAATGGATGGTGGCCAGGTGTGGTGGCTCACACCTATAATCTGAGTTCTTTGGGAGGCTGTGAGGCAGGAGGATCACTTGAGCCCAGGAGGTCCAGGCTGCAGTGAGCCATGATCAGGCCACTGCACTCCAGCCTGGACGACAGAGTGAAACACTGTTTCTAAAAATAAAAATTAAAGAATAATGGATGGCATTATTCTGCCATAGGGAAGACCACCTGAAATACTGTTACACACAGTAGGTCAAGACCACTTCAAAAGCCTTATGAAAACAGCACAACTCAGGCAAGGCTTTTATTCCACAAAGAAAATGCAGTACATTTTTTAGTTCCTTTAACAAAAAACTCAGATTTACTCCAGAGCCTATGCACTTAGTCACCAATCTATACTGCATCCCCACCCTATTTTTTCCATTTGGTTCAATTTTATACATTTAAAACTAACTGCTTTGGTCAAATACATACCATCTTTGGTTCACATTAAAATATTATGGTTTAAAATTGGCCAGAAGTTAAGAAATATCAACAAAATAGGAAGTTTGAAATACAATTTAGGAATGAGAATGGTTTCAGAGCTTGTTTCACTGAAGATAATCATTTATCTCATATTGAACTACATTAACAATGTTCTGGCCAGGTGCAGTGGCTCACACCTGTAATCCCAGCACTTTAGGAGGCCGAGGCAGGAGGATCACTTGAGCCCAGGAGTTTGAGACCAGCCTGGGCAACACAGCCAGGCCCTGTACATATAAAAAAATTAAAAATTAGCCAGGTGTGGTAGCACAACCCTGTAGTCCTAGCTACTTGGGAAGCTAACATGGGAGGATTGCTTAAGCCCAGGGGTTCAAAGTTATGATGAACTGTGATCACACCACTGCACTCTAGCCTGGGTAAGAGAGTGAGACCCTGTCTTTTAAAAATTAAAAACAAGCAATGCCCTAACATGGAATTCCCAAGTGTCTGCCAATTGACAAGAAGATTTCCATTTGACAATCTTAGTGTCCTCGTTTCCCTTTATCAGGATAATACCATATGGATTCTAAATATGTTTAATGTAACACATTCTCGAGAGATCTTGCTGAATAAGAAATCAGCTTATTATAATGGCCAATTAATTTAGCAATAGTAATCTATCAGATAATTTATTTAAAAGAAAAGAAAGAGATAAATGGGTAGATTTTCACAATGTAAACACCAAAAGAGGACATCTTTTCCGTGAGTCAGGGAATATTTAAAGAGATCTCACAAGTTCCCATTTTCATTAGATCCACATCACATATTTTGTGCTTTCTTTGAATAGCCAAAGAATTTTCTTCGGGAACATATGAGAGTAAAACCAGAGCTAAGGAGCTGTAAGAATTTGGAATGGCTTCTTGAAATTATGCTGCTCCAAGTATGTCGTAATCACTCATAAATAACTCCCAAACCAAGAATTTCTGAGGGCAAAAGCACACCAGCGTGTACAGGAAAGGCAGAGGAAGGGATGGAAGGGAGAGAAAGAGGGAACAGTGTGGATTTCCTGTTTTATACCAGGACAACTAGGCCAAACTCAGTTTAAATGCAGTGCAGTCAGAAAAAATTCTCAGTGTGACACAGACTTCAGGGAAACAACATGTCCTGAAAGAAACATGATTCCCCTCAAGCCACTAAGGATTTTCTCATCAAGTGTTTTCACCTCTGCATTAGATTTGGACACACGAAGAGGAGAGCATTTACTCAGGTAAAAATAGTTCTCTTAGTCTCTTCCTCTAGTCACTAATTTTTAACTTAAAAATACAATTGACTGATCTAGCTGATAAAAGTTACCGACAGAAATAAGCTAAGTTCTCTCTTCTTTTGAATGCTGGCAGCAATTCACCACATAAATTGGATGGAAGAATTCTCCCAGGGACACTGGAAATAGTATCTTTTTGTCAAATGGAAGGAGGTACGCCCTAAAATTTGGGCGGGACACTCAATTTTCTTTTATTTTTTGAGATGGAGTTTCACTCTTGTTGCCGAGGCTGGAGTGCAATGGCGTAATATTGGCTTACTGCAACCTCCACCTCCCAGGTTCAAGTGAATCTCCTGCCTCAGCCTCCTGAATAGGTGGGATTACAGGCCTGTACCACTATGCCTGGCTAATTTTGCATATTTTTTAGTAGAGGCAAGGTTTCAGCATGTTGACCAGGCTGATCTCAAACTCCTGACCTCAGGTGATCCACCTACCTCAGCCTCCCAAAAGTGCTGGGATTACAGGCGTGACCCACCACGCCCACCCAACAATCAATTTTCTAGGCTCTTTTATCTGAGGAATCTCTGGCCAGCAACTCATAACCTCTAAATCAATGTTTCTATGCCAAGCTTCTTTCATTAAAAATCTCTCTCTCTAGATTCTTTTTGTATCTCTTCATGTTAAGTGCATGGAAACTCATCCTATTACAGGGTCTGATCATGCAAGCACACAAGGCTTCATTCAAAGGGCAACAGCAAGAAGAAAGAGAAAGCAAGTTTGCAAGGGTACAAAACACACAGCGCTTAAGATTAGACTAACGCCGGCCCATTCCAAAAGAGCTGCGAGGCACCTGGACTGCAAACAAAATGAAAAAACTAAAACAAGGACAAGGAAACAAAACTTGGTCAGTGGTGAAACTGGACTTCCAGCCCCCTCTGGAGAGGAACTGCTAAAATAATCCCTCTCCAGGAAGACCTCGGAATAGTTAGAATAGAATAGGTAGCTTCCTCTCCACGGAGTATGCCTACAGGTCTAACCTAGTGACTTCCCCAAATTAAATACACTGCACTGATATCACGCACACACACACACACACACACATATACACACACACACACAGCCAGCTGGATGGGCCCCTCCCTCCCAAAGAACATCCACAGGAATATGAGTGACATAAAGGCCTCTGACTACCCTCCAATAAGGTAGAGAAACTGAGTCACAGTCTCCTCTCAAGTCTTCCCTCCCTCCCTCCCACGGCACTGTGCTCCATCACACATCAGAGGTCCGTATGTTTTCATCATCAAGGTTGAACATAAATGGCTTCTCCTTGGGGTGCTGGGGCTCCGATCTGTGCCTTATCCTGGAGCTGGGCAGCACCCCAGCAGTGCTGCCCTCCCCAGGACGAGGCGTGAACAAAGAGTCCTCTGAAGCCTCTCCAGCTGGAAGCAGCTTCTCCCCAGTCTGGGGGACAGGTGTCCAGGGCTGCCAGGAGGAGACTACAGAGGGGGCTTTGCAGAGGGCTTTCTTTTCCTCCAATGGTGGCCGCCCCCTGCACAGGATAGAGTTGGGCCCACTTGAAAGGCTGGAAATTCCAGGTCGGGTCAAAGAAATGGATCTAGAAAAGGAGGTTTCCTATAAAATTAAAAGGAAGAAAAAGACACAACAAAGTTAGGGCTTTTCAGACAATGTTTATCACAGAGTCCCAGGAAGAGTACCCAACCAGGATCACCACCTCGTAGGTCCAGGGACGCTTGCCTACAAAAATGAAAAACGGTCAACGGGATTCACTCCAGATATGTCAAGGTCAGCCTGGCAGTGAGACTTGCAGGACATATCAGAAATTCTATTTCTCGGCCGGGAGCGGCGGCTCATGCCTGAAATCCCAGCACTTTGGGAGCCTGAGGCGGACGGATCACCTGAGGTCAGGAGTTTGAGACCAGCCTGGCCAACATGGTGAAACCCCATTTCTACTAAAAACACAAAAAAATTAGCCAGGCGTGGTGGCATGCACCTGTAATCCCAGCTACTTGGGAGGCTGAGGCAGGAGAATTGCTTGAACCCGGGAGGCAGAGGTTGCAGTAAGCTGAGATCGTGCCACTGCACTCCAGTCTGGGTGACAGAGTGAGACTCCGTCTCAAAAAAAAAAAAGAAATTCCATTTCTCTATCCAACCCTACCTCATCTCCTCCCACAACCAAAAAGAGAAAAATAAAAATGTGTACCCAAATTAGTAGAATGAGAAAAACAAGCAAGACAGCCTGAGGCTTCAGCTGCATCTCGGGACAGGGATGCTTGCCTACATCACCAAATAAAACATGCCTGCCCGAGGGGAGTTCATCTCTGAGTTGACACTGTGCAACAGAAAGGAACTGACTTACTCTGGGGTGGCACTTGAGGGCCTGGACAGCTGCCCCAATCTCCTTAATCCAGCTGTGCATGTCTTCTGGACTGTCCGCCTGCAAAACATCCAAGGCTCTTACCAAGAAATTTTAGGCACTGTGATTTCAGCTTCCAAGTCTCTGACTCAATATTAAGTTTATAAAATTACACCATTAAGGGTGGAAAGCATCTCAGAAATCATCTAGTCCAGTAGCTTTCACACTTTTAAGGACATGTTTTCCCTGTAATATCTTATTTTTTTTTTTTTTTTTTTTTTTTGAGACGGAGTCTCGCGCTGTCGCCCGGGCTGGAGTGCAGTGGCCGGATCTCAGCTCACTGCAAGCTCCGCCTCCCGGGTTTGCGCCATTCTCCTGCCTCAGCCTCCCGAGTAGCTGGGACTACAGGCGCCCGCCACCTCGCCCGGCTAGTTTTTTGTATTTTTTAGTAGAGATGGGGTTTCACTGTGTTAGCCAAGATGGTCTCGATCTCCTGACCTCATGATCCGCCCGTCTCGGCCTCCCAAAGTGCTGGGATTACAGGCTTGAGCCACCGCACCCGGCCCGTAATATCTTATTTGACACCCAGTAAATAAAACCGCTCAAAGTGGAGCTGCTTTGAAATGGGGTACAGGCTGTGGGGAAGGGGAAAGTTTAAGACCCCATTCCCCTGCTAAAGTCCGTCACTCCCTCCAGAAAACAAATGATCCAGTCTAGCCTCCTAGTTTTACAAAAAAGGAAAATGAGGCCCAAAAAGCCAAAGCCCAAGGTTTATGGCTGATAGAGAGTCGAGTTCTCCTCACTCTCAACATAGCTGCCTTTCTACTCTAACTATCAGAACAGAATAATCCCACTTTCAATTCCAGCCCTATTAAAGCCAAATCCTACTGTAAATCCTCCAAGATATGTATTGCCTTCAGAAATGGGGCTTTTCGCAGAATATAAGCTACTGGGTCTGTTTTGAAATTTACAAGGAACTCAAATAACTCAACAACAACAACAAAACCATAAATCATCCCATTAAGAAGTGGAGGCCAAGCGCGGTGGCTCATGCCTGTAATCCCAGCACTTGGGAGACCGAGAAGGGCAGACTACCTGAGCTCAGGAGTTCGCAATCAGCCTGGGCAACACGGTGAAACTCCGTCACTAATAAATGACAAAAAATTAGCCGGGAGTGGTGGCGTGCACCTATAGTCCCAGCTATTCAGGAGGCTGAGGCAGGAGAATTGCTTGAATGCGGGAGGCGGAGGTTGCAGTGAGCTATCACGCCACTGCACTCCAGTCTGGGCGACAAAGCAAGACTCCGTCTCAAAAAAAAAAAAAAAGTGAGCAAAGGACATGAATAGTTTTCAAAACAAGACATACAAGTGGCCAAAAAGCATCTGAAAAAATGTTCAATATCCCTAATCATTGGAGAAATGCAAATTAAAATCATGATGAGATATCATCTCATACCAGTCAGAATAGCTATTATTAAGACAAAAAATAGATTCTGGCAAGGATGTGGGGAAAAGGACCGCTTATACACTGCTGATAGGCACGTAAATTAGTGCAACCTTTATGGAAAGGAATAGAGAGATTTCTCAAAGAACTAAAAATAGAACTACCATTCAGTTCAGCAATCCCACTAGTGGGCGTCTCTCCAAAGGAAAAGAAATCATTATATCTTCACATGTGCCCCCAAACCTAAAATAAAACTTTAAATTTTTTTAAAGAAAATCATTATATCAAAAAGATACCTGCACCCGTATGTTTATTGCAGCACTATTCACAATAGCAAGGTCATGGACCCAACCTAAGTGTCCATCAACAGAGGACTGGATAAAGAAAATGTGGTGTACATATGTATAATGGAATACTACTCATCTATAAAAATGAATGAAATCATGTCTGTTGCAGAAATATGGATGAAACTATTATCTTAAGTGAAACAACTCAGACACAGAAAGTCAAATACCACCTATTCTCACTTATAACTGGGAGCTAAATAATGTGAACACATGGACATAGAGTGTGAAGTAATTGTCACTGCAGACATGGAAGGGTGGGAGGGTGGGAGGTGGGTGAGGGATGAGAAATTACTTGATGGGTACAATGCACAATACTCAGGTGATGGTTACAGCGAAAGTCCAGACTTCACCAATAGGCAATATATTCACGTAACAAAACCGCACTTGTACCCCTTAAATTTATACAAAAAAAAGAGTTGTGACTTTGCTATTGTGAATAAAACTTTAAAAAAATTTTAAAGAATCGTGGGACTTGGAGCACCAAGCTTTACAATATGTGAAGGATGAAGCCGTTAAACTTAAGTATTTCCTCCCAGAAACAACCTGTAAACCCCAGAAGGGGGCAGCAGCGGCTCTATGAAAAAAGGGAGGAAACTCCAGCGGCCTCGCTACTGCAGGTGGAGCCTGTCCGTGCCCTCCAGCTTTATAGGGGTTGAGTTCAAGTGAACAGAGCAAACGCTGGCTGAGGACCCCACCCCGTGTTACGCGCTGCATCAGGTGCCAGACACAGAGATGCGACCAGGTGGAATCTCCAGAAATATGCCTGTTAGCCTTCCTCTGTCTCCAGCATCATCCCCTAACAGTCCCACCAAAATACACACTCGTGCATTGGTGTGCACGTGCAGATGTCTGTGCCACCACCACACAATAGCCCCCAAAGGTCTCCACATCCCCCTTCATCCTCCCCATCCCCAAAGTGACTCCTTCTCTTTGCATTCTATCAGGAAAAACATGACCAGTAAAACAAAAATTCTCAAACCTGCATCCCTATCCCGTCCTGTCATCCCAAAACAAACCCTCCTTTGTTAGATGTGTGCAGGAGACACCTACAAGGGAAACCGTTCATGTCCTGGTGCACGAGGGCAAAAAGGGTATAGTGACATGAGGGCAAAAAGGGTATAGTGACAAGTGCCCAAAGCGAACACCTCTCCAACGTGTGCTCTACCTGCAAACTTACTAGCACTCCCTCCCCGCTTGACTTTTTCCAGTTACTTGACAATCTGGTGGTTTCCCAAGAAAAAGACAAACCCATCCTTGGTCCAAAAAGATTACTAGGATAAGGACTCCAAGAAGCTTCCAGAAGGTTCATTACAAATATCAGGGCTGGCCTGTTCCACAAGCTTAATTATTGAGGGAATTAAATGACCTCAATTAGGAAAAGCTGTTGAAATATGGCCGGACACATAGAATGGGCTCTGTAAGTAGCAGATATTATTGTTGTTTTCATTGTTATTATATGATATGAGAGAAACAAATGAAGCCTTAAAAACCACCATTTACAGATAAGCGCATTGCCCTCTCCATAAGATCCTTTCTCGGTTTCCTTATCCTCAAACTGCAGATAATTCCTACCTCAAAGATCAAATCATCAAGATCAAATAAGATCATGTATTTGGAGGTGAAAAAAAAGGTTATTTTGGCCGGGCGCGGTGGCTCAAGCCTGTAATCCCAGCATTTTGGGAGGCCGAGACGGGCGGATCACGAGGTCAGGAGATCGAGACCATCCTGGCTAACACGGTGAAACCCCGTCTCTACTAAGAAATACAAAAAACTAGCCGGGCGAGGTGGCGGGCGCCTGTAGTCCCAGCTACTCGGGAGGCTGAGGCTGGAGAATGGCGTGAACCCGGGAGGCGGAGCTTGCAGTGAGCTGAGATCCGGCCACTGCACTCCAGCCTGGGTTACAGAGCAAAAAAAAAAAAAAAAAAAGGTTATTTTGAATTTGAATGAGATGGACGTGATCGTCCATTAGGAGAAAAGCATTTATTAGAGATTTTCCTCCTAGAGAAACAAAAGATGATTTGGTAGGAGGCATATGAACTGAGGGAGAAAGAGTCTCCTGTGTCACATAGGAGATCTGACATTTTCATTAAACAGTCAGGAACATCCCCAGGATGACAATCTGATAATCAGTTTCCAGGAGTGTTAAGCTATCTCCATGATCTTTCCAGCAGTCTAGTGAAATGCTCCCCACCATGTCAAATGCTGCCCCCACAGGCCACAGGCCACCTGCCTGACTGCACTTTGAAGTACTGCCTCCCCACAAACTCCTTCTCCAGGAACTGTCGCACAGCAAGCCCAGGTGTCTTCACCCAGCCTCTGCTTAGCAAGAAATCACAGAATCACAGAAAACTAGGAATATATTGATTTAGATGGGTCCTCAAGTGCAAGAATCAAAACACCAACTATTATTCTTGGATGACTACCTAACACAATTTGTTATTTTTTCCCTGTTTTCCTTTTTGCAAGTAATAAGGGCTCATTAAAGATAACATAGAAAATAAATGTACAAAAATAAAAAACTGAAATCGGCTGGATGCTGTGGTTCAAGCCTGTAATCCCACAACTTTAGAAGGCTAACGTTTAGAATGTGGGAAGATGGCTTAAGTCCAGGGGTTCGAGACCAGCATGGGCAACAGAGCAAGACCTCTTCTCCCTAAACTTTGCAAAAAAAAAAAAAAAAAAAGGAAATAAGAAAAAAATTAAAATCGCTTTAAAACCTCACAAAATTCTAAAATAACAACTGAGAGCAAATCCAGTCTTTTTGCTATTCATTTTTCTTTGTTTTCCAAAATACAAAGATACATTATATCTTGATTTTTTTTTTCAGTTAATAATAGAAGGATTTTTCCATGTTATCAGGCGTCTTTGTAAACATTTTCAGGGGATCCAAGTAGATATACTATGGTTCACTCACCTAGTCCTCTAAAACAGTGGTCCTCAACCTTTTCAGCATAGGGATCGGTTTTGTGAAAGACAATTTTTCCACGAATGGGGAGGGGGATGACGGGTGGTTTCAGGATGAAACTGTTCCACCTCAGATCATCAGGCATTATATTCTCATAGGAAGTGCACAACCTAGATCCCTCACATGCACAATTCACAAGAGGGTTCACAGTCCTATGAGAATTTAATGCCGCTGCTGATCCGACAGGAGGCGGAACTCAGGCGATAACGTTTGCTGTCCTACTGCTCACCTCCTGCTGTGCCATGGATCAGTACCAGCCCACAGCCCAGGGGTTGGGGATCCCTGCTCTAAAATATATTTTGAATATTCCCTATTCTCCTCTTATA